TATATGTATAATTCATATAGTATTATTATATTGTATATTCTATATACTGCATTACACGGGTTTTTTCGTGTGTTTGATTGTTAAATAGATTTATTAAAATTATTAACTAGCCATTAAAATTAAAAAAAAAAAAACAAACCAGCACTATAATTTCAGAAAATATATTTTTCGTAATACTCCAAAATCGTTATGTGTTAGAGTGAGAAAACAATACATTTATTATACTTCAATAATTTTTCCTTCAATTTTTTTTTTATTTCTGTTATATAAATTAATTAAAATTATAGGTAAAAATATACCTGAAATTATTGATCATTGTCAACGATTAGATTTAAAGTAAAAAGCATGTGGATATAATATAATTTCGGAGAATATACTTTTCATAATACGACTGAATCGCCATGCATCAGAGTGAGAAAACAATATACAGTCTGTAATATAAGAGCGTGGACGCAATATCTTCGAATGTTTATACAAAACAAAATGACGACCGTTATAATGTGAACATTCATTGTCTTCCATGAACATCCATTGTCTTCCCTAATACGCAATTGTCACAAATCCTTTAGTTTCGTTCGTATCGCTGAGAAATAGAGACGTTTGTAATATGAGTACAGCGTATGCAAAACGGTTTGAAGCGGTCTTTCTCTGTTCGCATCCGAAAGCACCAAAAATGAGCGTTCGGAGTGCAGCTAAATATCTGCATAAATCGCGTGAGTTCGTCAATAAGTGGGTACAACGGTATAAAGACACTAAATGTGTGGACGATCTTCCAGATCGAGGTTCAAAATGTGCGATTACAGCGAGGGAAGATACGGCGATTTTGCTACTTTTTTAAAAAAATCCGCAACTTTCGCTTCGTAAAGCCCAAGCCATTTTGGCAAGAAGAAACATAAATGTAGATATAATGACATTAAGACGTCGATTACAAGAAAACAATATTGCATGGCGTAGTACGGTGGCGAAACCTCTGCTTTCAAGAAAGCATGTGGAAAATCGGTTGGCGTGGGCTCAATCAAATATTGATCGCAATTGGAGCGACATCGTTTTTAGCGATGAATGTTCCTTTTGGGCTTGGTCTCCCATCAAGCATGCCTGGTCAGTTCGTGGCAATCCCGTAATCCAAAGAACTGTAAAACACCCATTAAAGGTGCATGTGTGGGGATGTTTCAATGCACGTGGTTTCGGGACATTGTGTGTTTTTACAGGCAATTTAAACGCACAAAGAATGACAAAATTATACCAGAGAGGACTATTGCCATCAACAAAACGGTGGTTTAATCAATCTGGTGATAGATGACTTCTGCAAGAAGACAACGATCCAAAACATCGGAGCCGGGTGTGTACTGAATGGAAGGGAAAAAACAACATCATGGTGCTACCTTGGCCTTCTCAGTCCCCTGATGCAAATCCAATCGAAAATGTTTGGGCTATTATGCAGCAGAAGCTTCAAGGTAGTCGCAGTGTAACTTTGAAAGCGTTAGTGGACCAAATTAGAAAAATATGGAGGTCGCTACCTGTTTCGTATGCAGAAAAATTAGTCGAAAGCATGCCGAGACGTTGCGAAGCTATAATCGCAAATCGGGGAGACTGGACCCACCACTAAGTAAGAGCGTATTAGTTTCTTACATATACTTTTGGTTTACATACAGTTTTTCGTAAAAAAAGGTTTTTTTTCCAGAAATATTGCGTCCACGCTCTTATGTTACAGACTGTACATATATGTTCTGTCCTCTTTCCACTATACTGTTCAGTTGATCGTGAAAATTTATGACTTCTTCGGTTTCGCAGACCTCTCACTTCTTCTCGGATCTCTCACTCGGCGGCGGACTTCAATCAAAGAAGTAGGAATAAAAATTTGCTAATTTCGAGGCTCGAAACTGTTGTTTGTTTCGAGGCAATACTCTATTCCATTATGTCAATTCACGAAAAATTGTTTAAATGCAAAAAGTATCATTTCACCTCACGCCGAGTACGGTCTAGTTCAATTAATTAAAAATAAATTATTCAGGCAGGTGTCTAGAGTAATATCAAGTGGCGATTATAATACTATTGATGAATTAATTACTGTTCTAAAATCACGTTTTGCACCGTTAGATACTTCATATCAGTTATACGGAAATCTTTCTAAAATGGCACAAATGCCAAACGAAGCAGTTGTAGGTTATAGTAGCCGCGTTTCTAGCCTCCCGTTACAAATTAAAAATTGCAATGAAATAGAACAGCCAAAGCTAGCGCAACAATACAATAAGACCACCGAGACTAACGCAGTTAGGACATTTCTAACAGGTTTAAGACCAGAAATTTATGGTAGGCTACGAAGTCATGAATATATGAGCCGTTTATTTTGAAAGTGGCCTAACTTTATTTTTCAATTTTTTCCGGTTACCATGGTTACATATACAACTTTATGTTATTTATCAGTAAAGCATTTCAGGTTGCTTATATTCCGAGCAAATACGATAATTCTTGACACAAGTTTTCAGAGTTAGTTCAACAATTGAACCGTGTAGTTTGAAAGTGGCCTAACTCCATTTATACTTAAATCAAGATATTTACTATTGATAATGTCGGAAAGCAGTGATGAAGGTAATTTTAATTAATTAGTATTTACAAATTAACCTCAGTTTTTAGACAATTGCGTTAGTTGAATAACCAGTACGTTTAATTAATATGAAGCTTAGTTTTCCCTAACTGCCCCCATTCCAGGGAACCCCCTTCGGGTTTTCCCCCCACCGATCCGTCACACAAGATATCTACTATTGATAATGTCGGAAAACAGTGATGAAGGTAATTTTAATTAATTAGTATTTACAAGTTAACCTCAGTTTTTGGACAAATGCGTTAGTTGAATAACCAGTACGTTTAATTAATATAAAACTTAAAATTTAATATTAAATTTTAGAAATTATTTCACCCCTGTGGAAGAACAGAACAAGACCATTTAATTCAGATAGTGAAGAAGAAATAGTAACTAATGATTTTAAAAAAAATCGAAAAAGGAACAGAATTATAGAACAATATTCGTCTTCAGAGGATGAAGATACGAATAACAATGGAGAAAAGATTGATGAATCATACATCCAAAAAGTGCGAAAGATTAAACGGAATTCAGGAAAAAGATATTGTACTCAAACCGGAAATATTGTACCTGAAAAAATTTTCGAAAACAAAGATTGCCGTTGTCGGAATGCTTGCATAAAAAATTACGATGAAGAAGAAAGAAAGAATATTTTTGAGAAGTTTTGGGGTTTGGGAGATTTTAACAAACGAAATGTATTGCTTTACGAAGCTGTTGAGCGCAAAATTGTGGACCGAAGACGTCCAACAAACGGAAAAGGTTCGTGTATTGCTTTACGAAGCTGTCGAGCGCAAAATTGTGGAATGAAGACGTCCAACAAACGGAAAATGTTCGCCAAGAAATTGGAGTTTTAGATATTTGTTAAATTCTAAAAACGGAAAAGTTCCTGTGTATAAAAAATTCATTTTGGATAGTTTTAAAGTAAGTGAAGGATGCTTAAAACGAGTATTAAACGGGATGATGGTTGGATCATCCAGAAAATTATCTGAGGAAAGGAAAAAGCACGTTCAAAACCATATTAAAAGTTTTCCTAAATTTGAATCCCATTATACCAGATCTCATAATCCTAATAGAAGATATCTACATCCTGATCTAACTATTAGGAAAATGTTTAATTTATACGAGCTTCATTGTGAGGAAAATAAAATAAAAGCCGTTAATGAATAGACTTACAGAAAAATATTGAAAAAAGATTTTGATTTACATTTTCATCAACCGCGCAAAGATACATGTCAAAAATGCGACTTATTAAACATCAAAATGAAAGCATCAAATGATGATGAAGAAAAGAATAAACTTGCAGAAGAACACGATGTCCATTTAAGACTAGCAAAATCAGCTAGGAATTCACTAAAACAAGATCAGGAGCAAGTATCACGTAATTCAGATTATTATTTTGCTTTCTCGTTCGACTTGCAGAAAGCATTACCGTATCCCAAGTTGACTACCTCAGTAGCATATTACAAACGCAATATGTACAGGATGCGGCGCCAAAATCCAGACAAAATTTAATTTAAATTTCTCGCTGTCATATACTTATTGCAAAGTTCGCGATTGGCAACCAATTAACTTGAAATATGTATTAAACAGTCTAACCCTCATAATAGTCACAATGTCCAAACCAAGCGCAGAATATAACCGAAGAGCCGCGGTTATCGAAAGCATTCGCACTGGCCGCACAGCAACAGAAATCATTCGTTACTCCGGGTACCGACTGTATAAATCGACTGTATATGATGTGATCAAGAAATATGAGTCGGAAAAATGGCACGAAGGTTTTGCAACACCATCCAGGAATACTCACTCAAAGGAGCGTATTGTCAAAACACCCGACATCGTTCAACGTGTTCAAGAATTCTCACCTCATAATAGCCCGGTTTAAATCCTTTAGATTATTATGTATGGAGCGTTGTTGAAAGGGTCACCAACAAATCCAGATATCCATATATAGAATCATTGAGAGCCGTTATCAAGGCAATATTCGCCGATATGGACCGTGAGGCACTAAAACGGGCCTACAAGCGCTTCAGACAAATATTGGAAGCAGTCATTCAAGCAAAGAGAGGATATATTGAATAAAAGTAAAAAAAAGGTTGTAAATATTTCTGTTTTCACAATCAAAATTATGTTTGAAAATAATCTTTCATTTGTCCGGATTTTGGCGCCGCACCCTGTATGTTCTAAAGGGTATTCACAATTTTCATAACGATAATGTTTACATGTATGTTTGGGATAAAACTATTGCATTGTGAGGCACTTCTTAATCAACAGATGCAATTCCTTTATTTGCATGTGCTCTAAATTATCACGAAGAGATTACACTTCACAGAAATACAATTTACGCGTTTAAATCTTCCGTGCGTCGAACACTGCGACCGGTACGCGCCCATAACGCGGAACATATAGGATACCTGACTCGGTCCCCATATTTTTATAGAGGCGCTTATGGACCCTTAAATTCTTTTTTTAAATGAATTAGAATAAAAAATATAATGTAATACTGTGGCGCCCTTGGCACCACATACGCCATTGCCTTTTCTGTTTTCTATATTCTTTCTGTTTTCTAAAATTCTGTTTCCTGTTTTGTATCTTCTTTAGCTTTACGTTCTCTAGTTGTTTTCGCTTTCTATAGGGTCTCGCCGGGGCCTGGTCAGTGTCAACGCTCAGGCCCTTGCGAACCTCTTCACTTTCTGTTTTATGATTCTCTTCCGCTGTACCTCTCCTTTTCCGAACTTTCAACGGTTTTTCTGGATTTTCCCACTTTCTATATTTTCTCTCTTTCTAAACTGTTTCTTTCTTCTTTTACTGATGAGTTTTCGAGGAGAGGTTTTAACTAGCGACGAGACAGTCCGTCAGAGTCATTCTTATAGCTTACATCGTTTTCACTGCTCGTACGCATTTTAATAAACTCGTGTGGAACGCAACATAGACTTGATTATTATGTTTACCCTTATGCGATTCCCACAATACAATTGCCAGAATACTATGTATAGAAGTCAGTCGTGAACCGAACGGAAGGTATAAAATGTACGTATAACTTCAACGATAGTAATATTTTTTCCGCAAGCGAAATTAAAAATTCCAATTTATCCGTATTTTTTCTTTGGACCCATAGTTTATGTATGTAAATTGATCAAAATGGTACAACGTTTTATTAAAAAAAATTGCAAAATAATGTTAATTTTTAACATATTTTTTAAACAAATAAATTTTTCAAAAATTCACTTAGATTTTTTAAATAAATAAATTTTTCAAAACTCCACTTATGCCATATTATTGGCCTTTAAAAACAGAAAAATTTGCATTTTGAATTTTTTGTCTAGGCCTAATAGTTCCTGAGATATTTGCAAAAATAGTTTTTTCAACCCCAACTTTAAGGGTTATTTTCAACACTTCAGAGTGGATGCTTGCCGATAAAAAAAATACGTGTCAAATATTTTTTCGAGTTTTATAACATATAAAAATTTCATCAAAATCGGCATGTATCAGTTGGGTGATGTCCCTTGTTAGGCTATTTTCAAAATGAACGGCTCATATATTTCTAGACGACGCGATTAGCGCAAGTATTCTGGCGGAATTTAGGGAAAATCAGGTTCGCTTAAAAATGGCAGAAGATTACTCTGGCGCTAGTAACTACATATAGGTGTCCGAATGATGTGTCAGAGTCTCAACAAACAGCTAGGGTACAGTGGCAGCGAAAATTCTGTCAGCATTGCCAAAGATTAGGTCATAGAACACAAGACTGCCGAAACGTAAGTCAACCAAGAAGACCATGGACAGAAATTAGCCAGGAACAACCAGGGCCACAGCATGCAGCTCCAAATCCAAACAGTCAGATAGCTAACCAGAGTATTCTCAGAAGGCCTCCAGTAGCCAAGCCTCCTCCTCCTACTTGCTCATTTTGTAAACATATTGGGCATTCAATTGAACAATATAGGAAAAAAACTTATCAGGATAAAAAAGCCGAGCAGATGCGTAGTAGTACAAATTTTATAATCCCTACAAAAATTATTACAAACCCTCCTAGCATTGAAGTAAAGAACAACATTTTTCAAAACGGGTCAGCTTTGCTCATGATCGATACAGGGTCAGATCTTAATTTAATTAAAGAATCATCGTTAGTACATCCCACTTAAATCTATACCGATGTCTGTTTGCAAATAAGCGGAATTACTAAGGGAAAAATCTCTATGACAGGGTACATCAAAATGAAGATATTCAACAATGAGACAATACTACATATAGCCGAAAATGTGCCAATAGAACAGGACGGAATCCTCGGAAACGAATGTTTCCAAAGCACCGAAGCAATAATCAATTATCCTAAATCCATCGTAATTACCAGAGATTTCACAATACCATTCGAGGAAGCAATCGTTCACATAAAACCTAGGGAAAGACGTAATTCCAATTAGGGTCTTGAACACTGATATTAGCACTGGATACGTTCCAAAATTAAATATAAATTCAAATTTACATCTTGGTAACGCTGTAGTCACTAACAGAAATGGAGTAGCATTCATATACGCAATTAACGTTTCCTCCGAAGAAATAAAAATTCCTATGCCAGAAGTAGAGTTACAACCTTTTGAAGAATCACCTATAGAAGATTTACATTCTCCAGATACACCCAGAGTACAGAAATTATTCAAACAATTACGATTAGATCATTTAAATTCTGAATAAAAATCTAGTGTCGAAACTTCAATCAAGAAACACGCGGATAAATTTAATTTGCCGGGAAAAAACTTAGAAGCAACAAATACAGTA